TCTTTCCCTGTAGATTTCTAACCGGCCGCTGCCGCGTGCTTTGGTCAGCACGTTCTCATACCTAGCTCGTACCGCGTACTCGCGCAGACGGCGAAGGAAGGTTTCTTCGAGCGCCGCTGCGCTGGCGGGGGATGCTGATGCGCCCAAGGGCCGCCCGAGTGCGCCCTGCGGAGCGGAGCGCTTCGGGGAATACGTGTCACGTTACTGGCCGGTCACCACGGGTGTTGGGAGACGAGAGATGCTCTGCACGCTTGGGCAGGATTCAGGGACTTAAAACGTGCTGCAGAATGTCAAAAACCTCCTATTTCAGCAGCCGGTGTGGTGCACCCCCAAGCAACCACATCTTGTTAGAGTAAGACCGTAGTTAACGTCATACGTTTCTCGAAGTGTGCGGTACGTTCTCTGCTTGTACTTGCTGTCCCCTAAACCAGATTCCTTTACATGTGGAGATCCTACGAGCTAGTATCCTTTATATTTACTGGATGCTGTTCAAACACACTTTGTAAAACAACAGATGATTGTACTGTCTTAAGTACTAAGTGCCAAAGCACAACTGATAGGTATTAGCAGATACTGGGAATTCATCCCACTCCTCCCTTCCCTTCCTCATCCCTCGTATCTTTAGTAGGGATGTAAAGTCCATTAAATGCTGTAGCACTCTGCCTGTTACTTTTATGCCCGTTAACTCATACTACCAAGATTTCTCTAATTTACAATATTGAGTCTACTACTTTAAGTAAATTTTCTGATTTTTTTTGCTTGCCTGTGTGAAGTCCTTTTACTGCATCAGAGGTGTCAGAAGTGATGGATAACTAAATAAAAGGCTTGAATTAAAAAAAACTGGTAAGTAGGAGGCAGATTTCTTACAGCCCAAACCAGCGCATCTGAATTGCCACCTGTTTGTAGGGGAGCTTTATGGCAGCCAGGGAAGACCGAGATGTGATGGAGATATTTTTCATTGCTGTTGGATTGTATTCACAGTGGACTGGGCAGAAGTAGCACCGTGTGCTACAGGAATGAAACTACCTCTGCAGAGCAGATAAATCTGCTGCTGTTCTATCTGCTTCTCATGTGGATGGGATTAACCAGATTTCCCTGAACCTTTTGTGGTATTTTTCCCTCTTTCTCTACTCTTTCCTTTTCCTTTTTTCAGACACTTGCATTAGAGAATGCCAGCATATTTAAAGGGCGTTGTATCTGGTCAGTCTTTGGAATATTTTATACATTTTAAAAACCCAAAACAAACATGTGTCAATTAAAAAGAAAAATTTTTGGAAACAATAAACTGTGCGCGTCCATAGGCGCCGAAACTATTTCCTTCACTTTTTTTACTTTTGTTTTTTAACCCAAACTTGCATTCGTTCTCTTGTTCCAACAGCACAGTCCCTTCTTTGCGGAGCAGCTGACGGCTTTCCAGGTGTGGCTGACCATGGGCGTGGAGAACCGCAACCCCCCGGAGCAGCTCCCCATCGTCCTGCAGGTGAGCGGCCGGGGCAGGGGGTCGGCCACGGCTGACACGGTGTGCTTGTGCGCATCTCTCCCTGCCCGCCGAGCGCGTGCTGCCAACCGGGGGGCTTCTGGGTACGTAAATCACGTGGGCTCCTTCAGCATTAATTAGAGCTAGTTGCACGTTTACTAGACCTATGCAGATGAAGACAAAGTGCTTTTCTTCCCCAGTACCTTCACAACTCCGTTGAGATTCCTGCGAAAACGTGGACTGTTACTTCTAAATTACCCTCTTGCGTCCTGGTTAACCTCTAACTTGCATGTGTGGGCACAATTAGCTTCCCTGTCTTCCGTGTAGGAATACGGGTGGACAAATGTCAGGGAGGGTTGTGAAGCAAAAAATGCACTTACCTACTGTAGTGCATTTGCAGCTTCAACGGTACCAGGCTCTGCTGCCGCCTCTTTTACTCTCAAGTAGCAAGACTTCTTCCCAGAGTAGCGCGTCTTTGTTGATTTCTCCTGTAGTATCTCCTCTTATATGCCAGCTCTGTCAGGCAGAGACTTTATCTCCTCTCTGTTTTCAGAAAGTGGATGTTACTGCAGTGTAAATAGTTTGGAAATGGCTTCTTTATCTGTCTGGAAAGTGTTCCCTTTAACGTGATGCTGAAATTTTGCTGCAAGAACATAGAAACAAGTCTCTGAAGACCATGCCTGGAAGGAATGAGTTCTGGTAGGCATTTGCTCAGACTAGGCAAAGTTCGTATGTATAAAGGAGAAGTAAATCTAGGAGAATCATAATACCTCATTTCAAAAAATGTTTTATGGCAAGGCACATATTACAATTGTCAACTGCTCTTGTCCTCTCCTCTCCAGGAGTTTCTGTTGAAAAAAATATAAACCCTCGTCAAGGTAGCTGTGGTCTCTTCTCTACCAGGCAGTAAAATTTAAAGTCTTTCTGTTTAAAGGAATATGATTCCAGTCACTTGTACAAGGATATGTGATTTCTTTCACTAAATGTGAGAAGACTCACCTTCCCTCTGTTAGCTACCAGCTTGTTTTGTGACCGACAGCACTATCAATCTTTGTAAGACCAAATCTTAATTTCCCTGGGCCTCCCAAGCCTTGAGATCAGTTGGATAAACAGAGGTATGGTTTATCTCTGTCACTGTGATGGGGGAAGGCAGGCTTCTACTCTAGCACCAACTTTGCTGCTTTCCAGTGAATTATTTGGCACCGCAGGGCTCTGCAGGTAGCTTAACCTTGCAGTGGAATTGAGAGGTTACCTGGCAAAGGAACCTGCTTTCCTTCCGGGAGCAAAAATGAGCTAGAACAATGTCATTATTTTTATAATTAAAGCATATTACTTGTGTAGTGGAATAAGATTGCTTGTTAACAGGTTTGAGAGACTTTGAATCTGAGACCAACTGATTAAGAGACGGAAGGAAGTGCATTTCAGACCCCTTTTGTCTTTTTGCTTTGACCCGTTGGGAGTGCTTAGACTACGCTGCTGTAGCCTAACAAAGGTTGATTCTGTTTTCCCATTTTAGATGTGGCCCCGGGGAAAGAAGGTATTTGAGTGCCAGGGCCGTGATGCCAGCCATGCAAAGCTTGGATTTGTCAAGGACAGGGAGACGGCCCTTTGTAAATGGCCTATTATTAACTTCAAGAAGTTGCTTTCCATTTCGAATTCTTGCTGTGCATAGGGCAGAAAGCCCTGGGGAGACCACTGCTGAAGTCCCCTTCCATCTTGCATTTATTAGGAGATTCCTGCTAAAACGTGGACTGTTACTTCTAAATTATCCTCTTGTGTCCTGGTTAATCTCTAACTTGCATGTGTGGGCACAGTTAGCTTCCCTGTCTTCCGTTTAGGAATACGGGTGGACAAATGTCAGGGAGGGTTGTGATGCAGCTGAGTGCATGTAGTGGCACAGTGTAGCAGTTTCATGATTTCACTAAAGTTCATAAATTGTGCATAGACTCTCCTCATCCAAGTCTCTAGAGTTTGTCAGTTTTGGCTTCAGGTTATTGTGCACATCGGTTTGTGAAGTGGGAATATAAAAACCTGAGAGAGACAGATGCCTTTTTTGTTTTTGAAAAATAACAAAATGGAGCTTTTAAACTAAGACACAATTTGGTGTGGTTAAAGGTGCTTGTGGGATGCTAGTGGTGTTGAGATGTGGTTCTGTATCTTCCCCTAGAAATCTTTTTCAATTATATATTTTTTTCCCCCCCCCCAGCTATGATAGAATTTGTGAATTTACTTGTTTTTTTCCTGAAGGTCAGATAACAACAGCATTGTCAAATCTGTATGCCTCCGACGTCTGTGGAAGCACCCTGCACCTAACATGGTCCTGCCTGTTGTTTCAGCTGCCCCAGCTTCCACCATGCTCTGGTTTCTATTACTGCTTTAACCTCAAGCAGCTGCCCCTGTTATTCCTGTGCTGGGCATCTTTAAAGCACATTGTTAATCGTGCCAAGTTCCGTAGTTAAGTTTATGGAATAGGCTGGTGCCAACTAGGGCAGGGTGAAAAAAAAACCTTTCTCTTATGACCTGTCCTGAGATCTGAGCTCCGGTATCCAGAGGTGAAACATGCTCTTCCTTCTAACCGTCTTTTTCTACCAGACTTTCTCTGCGTAACTTTAGTATCTGCTATCAGTCATCCATAGTATGAGGCATGAGCCAAGTAATTTAGTTATTCTTCAATATCAAACATGGAAAATAATTTAATTTGAATACGCAGTGTCAAAAAACACTGAGAAGGAGATGGAATTGGGGAGCTAAATCAACGAGTCTCCCCGAGACCCATGCTGAGGGATGTTACTCAATTTAAACTGGGGATTAAATGTTGCATTCCAATATCTTACATCTGTTAAGGAGATTAAGAACTGAAAGTCTGTCTCTTAATATTTCACACCAGGGTAGGTATAAGCCAGTAAACTACCACCTCATTATTGTTGTCAGACTCTGTTTTAATGAGATTTTTATTAACAGCTAATGTGACCTTTTGCTTCCCTCTTAAGTCTCTTATATTGATTTGCCAAGGAAAGCAAAGCCTCTTTTTCTGCTTCTGAGCTGTTTTGAGTAATGGGAGGCTGGGCCTTTTGCTCACCTTTGAATCCTTCCTGCAGATACAATCGTGTTCCTGCTTTACTGGGGGAAGGCAGGTAGTATGACGAGAATATTTGAAATCCATGGGGGCTGCCTCCATCTAGCAGAGCTGTGCTGCGTAGGAACCACTGTGCCCGAGAGAAAAGCTAGCAGAGAGAACGCGTGGAGCAATGACGTGGCGACCGAGGATAACCACGTTCCTAGGAAGGCGTTTGTGTGTCTGTGGAAACGTCGTGAAGGAGAGCGTTGTCAGGAGTGGCAGTAACCCACGCACTGTCACCCACAGGTGACACTGTTCAGCGGGGTGGAAGTTTTCAGTGGTCAGGGTTTATCTTCCAGCTTTTTTTTCAGACCATCAGTTTGTTCTAAGTGATGTAACGATCCTGAAGTCCTCTTACGTTTGCTCTGCAGTCACAAGGATTTCTGTTCTCTTTAGCAATAACCGTTATCCCTCTCCTCTGCAGGTGCTGCTGAGCCAGGTGCATCGGCTGCGAGCTCTTGATTTGCTGGGAAGATTTTTGGACCTGGGTCCCTGGGCTGTTAGCTTGGTGCGTGGATGTTGCATATTGTCTTGTAAAAGTCTAGTTTATCTCAGAATAGGCAATAAATACAAATTGTGATTTATGGAAGGAAGACATGGAAGATATTCCACAGCTTTGACAAATGACCAGTGTTTTATGTGTTCATGTGTGTGAAACGGAGCAAGCATCCCTAAAAGAAAAGTGGTTTGTATTAATCAAAAAGGCTGAATAGCTGTTCGTTTGCATTACAACACAGAGGAGTTCCTTGGGAATAGTTTGGTGTAAAATATTGTAACGGACAAAACGGGGAAATATCTGGGGCAAATAAGAAGGTTTGTCATGTAAAATAAATAACAAAAAGATAGCACATATGTTTATCATCTGTTCTCTCAGCTTACTGGCTGCATCATTTTCTTCTCTTCCTTTATCTATTTGGTCTCTGGATTTTATAAGCTCTTCTGAGAAGGTGGCAGCTGCCTTCTGCATTTCGGAAAGTGGCTAGCACAGTGCAGCTAATAAATAAGAATTAATCAGAGGAGCAGTTTAAAACGCTCTTGTAAATGGAGCTATTTGTTGATAAAAGTGATGAAGACAAACCACCGGCTCATCGTGGAATAGCTCAATGATGGGACTTTTTAGTGGTTTTCTTTACCTTCCTCCTTCATCTCAGCCAAGACTCCCTTCTACATGCCTTCGCAGACAGCTTAGCCCTCAGTGGTAGGAAGAAAGTATGCATCGAAGGCGATTTTAAGACCTCTGGATTATAAACTTCTGTGAGGACTAAAACATAGCTGCAGGTCAGCCGCAGTGGCCTTTGCTCTGGCTATTACGTGCTTTATAAACCTCGTTGGCCGTATCGCTGGGTGATGCTTAGCTGCTGCCAGCTTGTGTGGGTGGTAACCGCCCGGGAGCCCAGCGCTGCAAGTGCCATCCCTCGCCATACGTTTCCTTTACGTTGTGCTTTGGGAAGGGTATCTGCAAGGCTTGATAAAAATCAAGCAAAGGCTTGATAAAAATTCTGTGTCAGGCGAGAGACCTATTTAATTTCCAGTGGGAAGCCTGTAATTATTGAGCTTTTGCAATATGTTTACTTGTGAGAGCAAATGGCCCCATCTGAGGAGAGTGGAACGTATCGTGAAGCGTAAAACAGCACAGGCTGTAAGGAGTAAAAGCTCGTGCTAGATTAACTCTGAGTCTCCGTGGACCAAATGAGTCTGAAAATATCTGGTGACATTCAAGATTAAAACAAGCGATAGACAAATACACAGGGATCCCCTCTTTGCTAGAAGTGTATGAAATTGTTTTCTACCAGATTTCTCATCTGTGTCGTTAAATACGCTGCATCTTCGCAGGGCGCTCGGCCCTGCCCCTGCGCGGCGCTGCCTCGGCAGTAAAGCTGAGCCGTTCACAAGGGTTTGCTCTTCTCTCTGGCTCCCCAGGCCCTGTCTGTTGGCATTTTCCCGTACGTGCTGAAGCTACTTCAAAGTTCAGCTCGTGAGCTGAGACCACTCCTTGTCTTCATCTGGGCCAAAATTCTGGCAGTGGACAGTGTGAGTACTTCTGAACTTGGCTGTTTCTTTCAGGTTTCAGCAACGTGCCTTTCCCCCCGCCCCGTTTGCTTTATCCACTTGCTTTAGAGTTGAGGCTTTCTCCTGAGGTGCTTCAGAAAGACGCTGTATTGTCTGGAGAGCAGCATATGATCTCATTAATTTATTTATTTGTAGGAAAGCTAGCTCTGAAACCGTCTGAACGGGAAACCCCCGCTAAGGTGCTGACGCTGTGTGGGGCAGTGCCCACCTCCTCACACCTGCGCGGATGAGAGCAGCTTTGCTGTCCTCTAACGCTGCAGCGTCACGTTAACATCTCGCAGCTCATAGTTCCCCTTTGGTTCTAGGGTGTAGGTGCTCTGGGTAAAAGCCATCAGATCTCACTGGTTGCATCTTTATTGGGGAAGATACTGCTTTGTTTGCTGAAGGGGCTTAGAATGCACTCATATCTTCTGTCCCGTGTTCCCAGGTGAGCGCGCGCTTGCACGCACTCATACTCTCCCTCAATTTGTTCACTTTAGGTTGTTATCGAACTTATTTTGTTCAAGACCGTTCCTGTCAGTTGTCCAAACAGGCTGTGGTTAGTCTTCAGACACAGAATTTTTCTAGAAATAAAACAAAGGTAATTTTGGTGACTTTAACTCGCAAGTCCTGCTCTGAGTCCGGTGCAGGTGCTGATGCGCTGAAGATGGTCGCCATAGAAGTATTTAACCCCAGAGAAGAGAGCTCACCCCTGTCATGGGTCCGTGATTCTGCTCTGCTCTACAATATTTTGGCACCTTTGGGGATAAAGTTTAAAAACTGAGCCCTGATTTGTAAAGATGGCCTTAACAAGAGCTCTGGTTAGTGGGGTTTTTTTAATAAATAATTAAGCAGGTAAGTAATTGTAGATAAATTTGTATAGTCATATATATGACTCCATAGTTTGTGGGTGCAATTAGTTGAGCAATGTAAAATTATTAGGAGTGGTGCGCACAGCTAATTGCAGGCATGATTATAAGCTGATATGAAATTGTCTGAACTGCTTGTAGAAGTTGAATCTTGCATATTTGGGTGTTTATTTTTGTTATATTTTTTCCATTTCAGTATGGAGAATAATATTGAACGTGGAGTTTTTTCCCCACTGTTGATCTAGCATTGTCAGGTTTAGCTTTATAAATATATTTTCATTAACATCCTAAGAGGATTTTGGAAAGCAAAGGAAATGAAAACTATTCATCTTAAAGCTACTCTTGAAAAGCTTATTTTTGATGCATGCCTCTCCATGGCTGACGCTTCAGCCCCAGGTACATTTCAGAGTAGGCTCATGTATAATTTACACGGGGTGTTGTGCCATCCTTCACTTCGCTGGTGGTAAAGCCAATCTGAGAGGGCTCTTTGCCCCTTGTCCTCTCCTACCACCATCAGTATTGCTCCCATGCTTTATTTTATTGCCCCAGTCCTTCGGTAGGCTGTGCTTTAAACCAAACAACAGCAAAAATACTCTTAAATTTTGTATTAGGATTTCCTTCCACCGTTTCTCTTCGCTAGCTCCACAAAGAAGTGATGCAAATGAGAAGGGAGGAGAGAGCAAGTTCGTCAGGAAGGTGTGATGAATGCTGCCGAGAGAGGGGACGGGCAGCGGCTTGAGTTGTCACGGCATAAAGGGAACAAATGTGTCATCATATTGGGAGCTAAAAGAATACTCTCTTGTTATATGCTAAATATCAATACAGAGACATCCTTTGCTCCTCTGCTGACACAGGGGTTGGCCATGTATGTTCGAAACAAATTAATTTACAAAGTTTGACAAAAAACAGTATTGCAGCGTGCATGTTTTTGGATTCCACGTTCTCTAACGCTACATTCTGCTCCATTTCCCCAACCCTCTGCGTTTCCAGAGGGTAAATTTATCTAAACAAACCACAAGACCAGTCAGTATCTGCACGCTCCACAACGAGAGATGGTCTTTTAGTGTTCTGGTTCATCCCGTGGTGCAGCGGTTTGTGACCTGTCTGAGCAGCGGCGAGCTCGCTACGCGGCGCATCAGCATCGTTTTCTCAGAGATGGCCTTTTTATAAGACTCATGAGGGGCTGACAGCTGCGAGGGCATGCTCTGTGAGTGTGAAGGCAGGCAGGAGAGCTGGCAGGCAGGTAGACGCAGTAATTAGTTGTTAGGCTGCATGGAAGTGGGGCGCGTGGCTATGAGGGTGCAGTTCTCTCCCTGCGCTGGACGGGCATCTGCCTGGCTCAGCTCTGGTTCGAGTGGGTGCTGTGTCCGTCATCCGGGCAGAAGCCATCACCCTACCACGTGAGAGCGTGTTTATTTTCAAACATTCTGTCGGATCCTCTTCATCCTCACAGTAATTGTACGGTGCTGCTTCCTTCATCTGCTGTCCCTTGTATGTGTATTTTGTTTGGTTTCTGGAGACTGTAGCTGATGAAATTACTTTCATTAGGACTGGAGTTCAGCTGGTTGCTCTTCTCTGCATTTGGATGTGACTGAGAACAAGTTATATAAGACTCGGTAGTGCCCTGGAGAGCAGAATATCCTGCTAAGATAGTGTTTCTGTTCTGGCTCTTCCCTCTCTTCGGGCAGGGAGGCAGAAGGAAGGTGCTCTGACACAAGACAGCAGCGTAGTATGCCACGTGTCCGTTCAGATGGTAGCTTCAGTAAGCATGGTATGCTGTGAAGAATCGTGTTTTGTCATAAAAATTACAGGATAAATTAACTGTATTACAGAAACGTTACACCTAGGGCAGAATTGAGTTTGTGTGATACATAGGTGTCCCTAATAAACAGTGGAATATTTAAGTTAACCTCCTTTAATTCCATGTATAATCAGATGATTTTTCATAGGATATTCACTGAGTACTCTAGTCATCTCTGCCCGAAGCCTGCTGGAGTATTTCTAGGCAAGTGATGGTTCAAACTTGCCCACTGTAGGTATCTGGCAGGTAGAGGTTGGTGTAGGAGTATTGTTGTGTGCTGCCACGTGGACTTGTCTGCATAACTTGCAAATGCAGCTTGGGTCAAGAATTCGCTACATGCTACATTGATAATGTTTGGTAAACAGCACCATCTAAATCTTAAATACATGAATTTAAAGGGAAAAAAATTCCCCCACTTCTAATCAGGATTAGAAACAGAAATTTAAGCAAGACCAAAAAAAGGCACGCATTAAATAGTACTGAAAAAAGTGAACACTGCTAAAGTGGGACAGTGAAAAAGAGATCTTACCACTCCAAAGAATTGGATGAAGACAATAGAAAACCAACATTTCTCATACTTTTTAATGCAACAGAGTAAAATGAATAGTATGCTTACTTTCCAGGTGTGTCCTTTGTTAGCAGGGCCGTGACTACCATTTCTCATGATTAATACAAACATTCAAGTTTAGCGTTCCCTGAGGATAACCTGGTAAAGCTACGCACCTCGGGCTGAGGGTCCACTGGCCGGCGTGGTCGCCCAGGACGCCCCTGGGCACTGGCAGTGCTGCTGTATGCCAGGGGTGTGTGAGGGTTTTGGGGAGAACTTGCGCAGCGCATGCTTTGTATTAAGAAGAAAGAGGAGATCTGTGCTCCAGTCCCTCCCCAGCACTGGGAGCTTTATATTTTATGCAAATTCTGAACTTTCACACCAAGCCTGCAGCTCGGTTTGGTCATGTATTATTATTTGCAAGTATAGCTGCTTATTCCTTGAGGAGGAGGTGTTACTGATGCCGGCTTTCCATATTGTTCACAGGATCTGAGCAGGGAGGGTTTGAGCAAGTGTGCTGGCTTTATAGAAGTTGCCTCCGTGGCTCGAGCCTCAGGTGTCTGGGTAACGGTGGCAGCACAGTAAACGTGGTGTGAAGATGGGCAGCCTTCTGTTTGCCTACATTATAGCGAAGAGATTGCTTTTTGTAAGGAACAGAAAGTATTCACGCTGAGAATGAAAAGAGGGGGAAAAAGGAAGCCTGTTTTTGTGCAGCGTTACACAGAAGCCGGGAAAGCCTGTCGTAGCTGCAGCCTGGCATCAGTCCATCCCCTCTGCTCTTTAGTCTGCCAAAACCAGCATCTTTACTCCCTTCAGCAATAAAATATTCTCTTGCATCTCTGTCTTGCCATTCCCTCCTTTCAACAATTAGTTCCCTCCTTCACCTTCTACGCCTAATAAAAAATACATGATCCTGTCTCTGGCATGAAGCATACAACAGAACCAGTCACAGGGGAAACCGATTGCCAAGTCAGTATTTCCTCCCTTAAATTTTTACTTTCGTAGTATGTATTCTTTCGGTTTGACCCTAATATATCAAGCTGAAGCCCGAGTTGGTATGTTAGCATAAACACGGTGTATGCCATGTGCTTCACTGCTGATGCTACCCCAGCAAAACCTGCATAATTCTTCTTACAGGCTTTTGAAGTCAGGGGAGTTGCTTTGCAGGTTTTGATTGTGTGTAGTAGGAAATCATGTTACTATGTGCTACTGCTGTAGTGATTCAATACACGTTAGCACTTGACCAAGTAATACAGCGGTTCATCTCATTTGTGTAGATGAGTTGAAATCTTCTTGTCAAAATCTAGTCCCACGTAGGTGAGGTATTGGGTAGAATATAAAGAATTAATAATTCCTCCTCTGCCCCCCCACCATTACGGATTTACTGGTGATTTACACGCTCAGTGACATGGTCACTGTAAGAGAAATGTGTTAGGATTATTGCGCGTGGCAGTCTCCAGGAGTTGTCCTGCTTGTGGAAGGTGGTACTTCGACGTTCACAAGACACTTACTCTCCTGTCCTGGCTGCCAGGCGGAGCTGGAAAGTCAGCTACAGTAGTACAGAAAGAACCAGGGAGGACTGCTTGTGCTGTCAAACTGCACCTCCCATAATCACGGGGAGGGGGCTGCTAAATTTATTAAAGAAGGATCACACACCAGACTCACCCAAAAACTGCCCTGGCTCCAGAGTTCTGTGGGTGAGACCGGGTGGGCAGCTGGGGGGAAGAGGAGGGATGCTGAGCGCACCTTCCACAGCCCGTGCCGTGTGCTCGGCAGCCAGGAGTGCCCACGTGTGTCCGAACACGCAGCGCAAGCTGCTTTCTCGACTTTTGGTAGCTAGCGTGTGACCATAACGTCCTCTAAAAGGAAAGGTCAGGGCACTTACTCCCTGCCTGGAGAACGTTACAGATTTGGCCAGGATTTTACACTACTTAGGCAGATACATAACTGTGCAACTAGAGGGTAGTGAGCAGCAATTATCAGCAAACCTGATCTATGTTAAGCTAATTGTCTTGACGTGGGATTAGAAATCAAGTGGAGAATTACTAGGGGCTTTTAGAAGATCTAATCTTACATGATTTTTATTCTGATAAATGTAAGAAAGAAAGAAATTTTAATCACGTTCCTCCTTGGTTTTGCCTTTGGTAGCTCTCAAATGCTGGTGAAGGCTTAATGTGGGACAGAGAAATGTCAAGTGTAACTCTTCTCCTGAGCAGAAGGTCACATTTGCAGTTACTCTTTCCGTCTTGTTGGAGGGTGGCAGAGGGTTCCCTCCTTTAGACACCGCTATTCCCTGTTTGCACGCTCTTCCCTGTTGGCCCTTCTGCTGCGGGGATGTTTGGTTGTGGCCCCCATGGAGGGCTTGTGCTTTCTTTCGCTTCTCAAATGAAAATGAGATTTGAGAAAAATGATTAAGACATGAAATATTCGTATGTCATTGGAGGAAAAAATATGTTTATGTTATTGTACTCATTGTGTTTTTCTTTGTCTCATTTTTCAGTCATGCCAGGCTGACCTTGTGAAGGACAACGGTCACAAGTATTTCCTTTCAGTTTTGGCAGATCCTTATATGCCAGTAAGGACATCTTTTTTCAGACTCTTCTATCATTTGCTTAGCTTCTCTTAGCTTATCTGTTGCTGTTCTGATGCAGTTGGTGCTAACGTAGAACTGCATCCCACCTCCATCTCCTGTGACCCACTGCTCTGCTGGAGAGAGTCATTGCTGAGCCGTGGGGTCAGCGACCAGGGGCGTTAACAATGCTCCTGCCAGCTTGTGTGGTAGATACAGCCAAACCAAACAAGAATTTGCAAACTTGTTTAAAGTTATGTAAGTGCGGATTACTCAGTGGTGACGATGGGAGCTGGGGGCTGGGTGCAGAGGCAGTCTAATTGCGCTGCAACCTTCCGAATTCCCTCTGCAAAAGTTTTTTGTAGTTTTCTGTAAAGGGTATTTGTATGCCTCCTCCGGAGCGATAGACAGAGGTTGGTTGGGAGGATCGTATTGGCAGTCTGATGATGCAAGTGATGAAATGTCTCAGGTGTAACTAGGGACAACTGCACGACAAGAAAATCCTCGCTTGCTTTCCCTTCTCTTGTTCTTTTAATGTGATACAAACTGCACTTCAAGAATAATCTCATTTTTCAGAAAGCATGGGATATAGTTGTTCTCTGACCTGCTTCCTAGGTGACAATTACTTGTATGTTGTTTTAAGGCTGAACACAGGACAATGACGGCTTTTATCCTGGCTGTAATTGTTAACAACTACAACACTGGACAGGTAAGTCCCAACACCCGTTTTCCTTTCATTCTCTCCTACCTCTTCCTGCATTGTGCCTTCACTTTGATAAAAGTGTCCTGGCTTGCATTAAAGCACAACCCTGAACTGGAAAACTGAAATAGAAGATTGCTTTACATCAGTTTTGTGTGGATTAAAAGAAAAATTGACCTGGAGGTGTGACAAACACATTATGTACCTGGTCCCTGGAAGTGGAGGTTAAGGACACAAGTCATTCAACATCCAGCCCTCCAGGCAGCACACTGCCATGCTGTTAAGGAAATAGTGCCTAGTTCCTGTCAAGTGGAGACTTGATGCCTGTGATAAAGCTCTTGGGAAGGGTATATGGAATGAGCCATAAACCTTCGGGCTCTGACAGGTGCAAGGAGTATTTCCAATGAGGAAAAACAGGCTTTATGCTTTAGATGAAGCATTTCTAACGCACAACTCTTCAACTAGCTATAACAGTGTGTAGTTGACCTTCCCTCCATGCTGCTTCCAAATGGTATTTTGTAACAAAATGCGTATATAAACACTGAATAATTATTTTCTCTTGATTTCCTGTCTATTTCAGAAATAATCTTTTTTTTTATTGATGATGATGAGGTGGGAAGCCGTCATCCAAAATAAATTGCATTGATTTGTGTTGTAGGAAGCTTGCCTTCAAGGAAACCTGATTGCTATTTGCCTGGAGCAGTTAAATGATCCACATCCTCTTCTGCGTCAGTGGGTGGCCATTTGTTTAGGACGTATTTGGCAGAACTTTGACTCAGCCAGGTGGTGTGGTGTGAGGGACAGCGCTCACGAAAAGCTCTACAGTCTCCTCTCGGATCCAATCCCAGAGGTAAAAATCCAGCTTTTTAAGTAAATGCCAGTTGAATTGTTGGAATTCTGGTAGAGGGCTACAGGAATACTTATAAAACCAAGGCTTTCAAGAGCTTTACGATTGTGTCTGGTTCAAAGAAAGATCTTATTGCTGTTTCTTCAAGATGATGCAAATCATACAAGCCCTGCAAAGAGATGGAACCAAAGAAATGCAGGGGGAGTTCATACAGCCCGAAAACCCTGGAATCTTGGCACTGGAGTTAGGAAACGCCTCGTTCTTTGTTTACTTCCATATCAGAAGCTTGTTAAAAACGTGATCCCAAAACACTGTGTTGCAAAAAACCCTGAAGTCTTTTTGCCCAAGTATGAAATGAAAACTGTTCTCCGCCTGGTATGTGTGAAAATACATCTTTAATTGAATGTGGTTTACCTTTGTGACAAAGTCTCCAAGAGAGAAGTGATTCTTGTGCAGAGCCTGGGCGTGATTGACAGAGCCTGTCAGACCCCGGTGAAATTACATCGCATGTGGGAGAAGGAAGCCTGGAGATAAACACCATTGCTAACGTGCAGTGATTAAAGATTAGATTCCCCTTTACGTTCAGTCTTTCTGTCCTGCATCCTCCACCTCCTCTCCCTGGCCCCATTTTATAAGCAGCACTTGTGTGAAGGTCGTGTTGACTGTCCTCACGGCACACCCGCGCCTCTCTGAGAAGCCAGAGCGAGCGTTTCTGCTTTGTGAAGCGCATCCTGCAGTTGCTGTGGCACCGTATCCCCACCGTTTGCTGTCTCTGCCAAGGCAAGCTGTGATCCCTCTCGTCTGTGTGTGAGCTAGCAAAGCTTACCTGATTTGAGCTGCTGTCTTTTCTCCTTTTTTCCATCATCTTCTACCCTTTTGTAAGACCTTACCTGAAGACTGTACTGTCAAAGAGATTCACATCCCAACAGTAACTCCCTGTGTACCTTATTCCTGTTAATTAATATTCTAGGCAACATCAACTGGAAAAATCACCTATGGGAAGGTCACCGAGTATTCTGGGAAATTAAATAGACTCCTGCATGTGTGAATACTTAAAACTCAGTGCTTTGCTGAATCTGTTCTGGTTTTTTCTCTCCAAGGGCTTCCGTTTAGCGGTCACTATTTACCTGACACGGTAGTCCAGGTTTCCAGAGATGCCATTTGTGGGGATAAAAAAAACCCCACTGGCAAACTTCAGGCTGGAAACAAGAGGAAAGTAATACTGAATTTTTGTGTCTCACAGGTTCGCTGTGCTGCAGTCTTTGCACTGGGAACATTTGTGGGCAACTCAGCGGAACGCACCGATCACTCCACCACCATCGATCACAACGTAGCCATGATGTTGGCCCAGCTCATCAATGACGGGAGCCCCATGGTGAGAAAGGTACGGAAAGGCTGGTGGTACGGCAGTTTGGTGGATTCATGCCAACGAGCTATGCGGTATGCCTAATCAGAGCGTGCACTATTTAATAGACTTTTCAATGAATTTGACTCATTTGGAAGTATTTGTTTCATCGT